AGAGAGAGAGAGAGACATGCAAGTTTATTTTTTTCGTTCAACATTATATAAATTATGTAGAGATATTGTCTAATAAGCGATTATGATACGCTTGCTTTTATGCGATTAGAAAAAAAAAAATTACAATTTTATCTCTAATTGCATAAAAGTGAGTGTATAAGAAATCGGTGTCAATGACCATGAGAAGGAAGGTGCTGTAGTTGCATAACAATGTATAGATTTCTCATGTTAGACTTGGACCGCTGGGTTTCTTGAGTACGGAGGATTTGGAATGTCCAGGAAATATGGGATTAAAGGATCAGCAGCAAGCTATGCGATGGGTGCATGAGAATATTGCTTTCTTTAGCGGCGATCCGAATAGAGTAACTCTTTTCGGTGAAAGCGCAGGTGGTGCGAGTGCTCATTATCATATGGTCAGTCCTCTTTCAGAAGGTAAGGCTTCAGCATTATTTTTATGACAAATTATTTTTTTTAATAAATCATGTTATTTTGCAATAAATAGTTTAAATAAATATTACACAAATTGAACTATTATAAAATATAAAAGTAAAACAAATTATGTATTGAAAAATGTAAATATTAATAAGAAAAATTAGGAAACATATATAAATAAATAAAAGTAACATATATGTTTCATAAGTAAATTTTAAAATAGATTGTTATATTTCATATCACGCTCACAATATATGGGAAATGTATTACTTAGGAAAACGTATCAATTTTTCAAGGTTTTTTCTCGATGGAAAATGTGTAACAAGTGTTGGTACATTAATATATTTACTGCGAAAACCGATTCTTGTTTTCGCGATTCACCGTCATCATTAAGTGATATGTAATCGATCGCATGCATAATATCTTTATACACGTGCATGCATAATGTTATGTCAATTTACGTCACACCTTGTAATCGTGAATTTTTAATCAATGCAGAAACGTGTTTCATTGTATTGCAATTTTTTCCTGCAAGTAGACTGCAGAAATCTGAGCATCTCTGATGAACTGCTTTTAAAATCAGTAGTGCTGTTTTATTATGAAATAGACATATCTAAAAAAATTCGCTTTAATAAGTTTTTTGTTTATCGATAACACTGATAAAAAGCTTATAATTGTATTTTATAATTGAATAATAATATTTACATGTAATCAGTATATTACATTAATAAAAATCAAATTGTATATTTGTATTGTATTATTAATTATCATAATAATATTTTTAAAAATTATTAAAGATTTCTAAAATGTGATATGATATAAAATGTGTAGAAAAAATATAAGCTTTCTGAAAAATTATAATTTTAGTGATATCATTAATTTATACCGTCTAGTTTATATAACGCATTAAATTATTATATTTTTTATAAAATATAAAGAAGTCGTGAAGCATTGAGACTATTAAATTTTATAAAAGTTTTTAAACATAAATTAACTTTTTATATTCTGTCGAATATATTATGGCAGACGATATATTCTGCATACATTATTTGCAATCGGTTAACGTGATCTTTACAAAATCATGCTTTAATTGGTAACTCGCTTATGCAATCAGAAAATTTATGTTTTTTTTAATCACATAGGACTATTTCATCGCGCTATTTCGCAAAGCGGCAACTTCTATAATCCGTGGACCATGACGTCACCGGGAATTGCCAAAAAAAGAGCAATAATGGTGGGTAATCATTTAAATTGTAATACCAAGGATTCCAAGGAACTCATCGAGTGCTTACGAAAGAAGAGCGCGGAGGAAATTATTGGTACAGATCGCCTTTTTAAGGTAACAAAATTTATTTAACGTTAATAGTATATTTAATATAATATCTTTAACTTTATATAAATGCTATATATAAATGCTAAACTATTTCACAAATTTATAATCCTAATTAATTAAAAGCATTTTGCAATAATAGTAAATAGTTCTTACTACTCGATCTAACTGTTTAATTATTTTAATTAAAACAATTTATATCATATATATATATATATATATATATGTTCCTTGTCACTTGTGTCACTTATCTATCTCGACATATATCTGAGAAAATCAATTTGGCTGTCAATCGGTGCCCAATCGATTATATATTATGCGCATACCGATGTAGAAATATTGTTTGTTACATTAAATCACGCGAAACTTATAAATTAAAGCGAAAGTTGACTCGGTATATTTAAGACCTACCTAAGTACATAATGTATGTATATAGGTCACTTATTATTTCTGATGTAATCACGGTTGTACTTAAAGAATTTCACGCCTGATTCGCAATATTCATAATACGTTTCAAACGAGATCTTTGCTTAAAACGTTTCGAGTGCATTCATGCGCGGCTGAAAAGTGCAAGATAAATTCTGTATCTGCGCGTGCATCAGCCTCAGAAATTATGTGAGCTGACGCTTCATCGATACGGCTGCGTGTAAATTATCTGGTGACAGTCACGCAAAGGTTTTGCAACCGTTTTCCACTTTAAAATGTATTTTAATGCAAAATTAAAATGACGAAATGTAATTATTAAAGAGTCCACTATAAAATTTTTTATCTTTGTTACTTTATATTTCTGGAAATATTTTTAATAACAAAGTTGCTCAATAGATTCGTTAATTATAATAGAATTGACTGTTTAAATATAATCTTTCCAATAATAAAATTGTAAGTTTGTTTACTTAAATAACGCCGTAGAAATTTTTATGGATAATTCTCATATTAGCTTTCGAAGGTAAACATTGAGATAATGAATAAACATGTCGAAGTTCTGATGATAGATGTGAGAAACCTGTTTGGCGAATACGCGCGTGCACATTTGTATGTGCTCATTACATGCTTTCCGCATGTGTAATTGCGGAAATTGATATTTTTATTTTCGCTCATGTGTTATGAATCTCTATCAGTTGATATTAAAATGAGCATATACATATATATATATTATATATATATATATATATATATATATATATATATATTGTCATTGCAATTATATAATCTCCATAATTGGATCATCAATCGTTTTATTATAGAAATTTGGATATTGTCCAATGATACCATTCCGACCAGTAATTGAACCTGAACATCCAGGTGCTTTCATAAAGGAAGATCCTTTAATTTCTGTGCAAGAAGGCCGTTTTCTTGATATACCTTGGATGACGGGAATCACTTCAGAAGAAGGAGCTTTAAAAGTAGCAGGTAGAATTTATTTTATCAAAAATTTTTTTATCAAATCCATAAAATTTTGACTATTAGATATTGTAAAATTATTTTGTTTTTAGAAAAAAAAAAGATTATATGGATTGTTTTGTAATACTATGTTTCATTGATTTAACATGGGATTTGCTAATTTACCGTTGAATGTCAATTTACTCCATCGGGGAGGGAAGCTAACTATAATGAAATAATATAATGTATTTTACTTATCATAAAAAAGTATATGACACAAAATTGTTTTCGTTTATTATAAAAACGTAAAAAAAAATTGAAGATCTGCCTATTATTATTAGTACAATCAATCAGAACAATTATCTGAAAAGTTCTAATGACGAAATCGTGAAAATTTGTGCCAATAAATCTTGATCTTTTCTTCTTGATATTTAATAAATTTCTATAAATTACGTAATCAACTGAAATGGCAATGGCACTTTTCAGGTATTTACGGACGGGAAAACGCCGCGAAGATATTGGAAGAGAACTTTAACAAAATTGCACCTATTAGCTTGCTTTATGATGAAAGATACAATATCACTGAGCATTTGCAAAATGAAATAAGTTCCACTATCCATGAATTCTACTTCGGTCGTAACACTATCGACAACACCGAGGAATCCCGATTCAAAGTTATTAATGTAAGTTTTGCGATAGTATTTATAATTACGGTTAATTTAGCAAACTTTAGTTTATTAATTACGTTAGAATAATTTAGAAAACGAAATCGAGTTAATAATAATATGTCCATCTAATGTTTCATTAATATAATTTCATAGATGTACAGCGATTCGTGGTTTAATCACGGAACCCACGAAGCCGTGCGGGATTTTATTAAAAATCAAACTTCACCAGTGTTTTATTATTATTTTGCGTACCAAGGAAGTGTGTCCTTCAGCACGATATTTGGCGATCCTGTAAAAAATTATGGAGTGTCGCATGCAGACGACTTGCAGTATTTGTTCCCCGTGGGTGAACAATTGTTCCCGGATACGCAATTGTCTGCGAAAGATGAGGGAATGATCGATCTTATGACGAATCTTTGGTATAACTTTGCAAATTCTGGGTAAGCATTAATATCTTGATCGATAATGAATAAATTATAAGTTTATGTAAAATGTTAGAAATTTGTAATAAATTTTGATTTTAAATTTTATAATAATTAAGATTAAAATTATTAAAGCAAAATTAAATTAACTACTAATTTAGCATTACTGTTCCTTGTTAGATTGTTTGTTATGTTTTTTATATTTTGCATATCCTCTATTATCGCGATTATAGTTTTTCGCAAATTTATTTATTCATTTAGTATAATGTCTAATTAAATTATTGCAGAAATCCTACACCAAAGATCACAAACGTGATTCCCTTGAAGTGGAAACCTGTAAAAACTGATTATGCACCAGAATATCTGCACATAGAAAATTCGGAAAGCATCATTATGAATCATAGTCTTCTCTGGCAGAGAATGATATTTTGGGATACCTTAACACACCGATTAAAGTCTTATGGCAATACATTTAGACATTTGAGGGATGAATTGTAATTTACGTATCATAAGCAAATTACGTATATATATATATAAGTATAAACATTACGTACATACATAAGCATAAACATTACGTACATAGAGCAAAAGTGTGATTTCAGTGTAATTGCAAAATCTTAAAATGAAATTTTAAAAAATTGCTTCCTTCAATTATAAGATAATTACTTTTAATTATTATTAAAATTTTTTAAATTTGAAATTGTAGTAGTATTGCTTATGTTTATAGGGCAATATTAAATATTAAACATTTTATTAATATAATTGTGTATATGTAATATAATAATTATAATATAATTGTTATATTATAAGGTATAAATAATATTTTTATACTATAATATAAATGAAATAACTATGACATATATATGTAAACCTATACAAGAAAGCATTAAGTCAAAATAGCGCAAACGTAAAATATTACACGACTGCGAAATAGTAATAATAATAATATAAATATAAATATAAATAATAATAATATAATAATTGTCTTGTAAGTGTAATAATTATCTTGTTTAAATATATAATATAATAATATCAATATGAAATTA